ATATAGAAGAGCTAAGTATAATAAAACAAGATAAGGAGAGGGTGATTATATAAATAAATGAATTAAGGATATAAAGTCAACTGGAATTACAATTTACTGGGGAAGCAGAGGTTGAAGATATTGAAGTAATTAATTATAATTTAATATAAAACCAAGAAATTCTATATATACCACAACTTCTTTGTTCATTAATTTGTCATTGGGCATTTGAATTGTTTACATAATTCTAATTGTGTTCTTGTCTATTATAATTAGTGCTTAAATGAACATTAGTGTGCAAGCATCATTTGAATTAATTTTTTAAATTGAAACATATGCCTACAAGTGGGACATAGGGTCATGAAAAAAAAAACTATATTCATAGTTTTAAAAGATATTCCCATGCTGTATTCCACAGGAGCTCAACCAGGTAACTTTCCTACCGATAGTGAAAGAGTTGTGGTATGTATAAACGGTGGACTCCTATACAGATTGTACTACATGGAAAGTATCATGTTAAGCGAAATAAGTCAGAAAGAGCGGGATAGGCACAGAAAGATTGCATTCATCTGGGGAACATAAAGCAACAAAATGGGAGACTAACACCCTGGAGAGGCTGAGATTAGTACCAGGAATTTTGCTCCATGACTTGGAGTCCAGCCACACGTGCTAGGGGAAAAGGAAGCTCAGATAGAGAAGAGAGCACCAAATAAAGGGTGTTGGGAGGATCCTCCCAGGGTGGGAGAAGCATGCTGAAAGTAGACTATAGACCAAACATGATCGCCACTCAATGCCTCTCTTGCAAAACGCAGGACCCAAAAGAAGAGAGAGAGAGAACAAGGGGGAATGCCTGCCACAGAGGCAGGGTGGGACAGGGGGGATGGGAGGTGGGAGGGATGCTGGAACCCATAGTGGTGGAGGATGGCCGCTGGTGGAGGGATGGGTATTTGATCATTGTATAACTGAAACCTAAGCACAAAATTGTATAAGTCTATAACTGTACCTCATGGTGTTTCACTAATAAAAAAATTTAGAAAAAAGAAAAGAAAACAGAGACATCTCTTATATACAATCAAAAAAAAGAAAGAATGAAATCTTGTTATCTGTTACAAGATAGATGTAACTAAAGAGATAAGAACAAATATTAGATGATATAACTCATCTGTAATATAATAAGGGAATGAACATTATATAACAAAGGATAAATTCTTGGCCTTTGAATGCAAAACTAACATTATCAAGCAGTGGAGGGGAGGAAGAGGAAAATGGGCCTGGACTGGGCTGACATAGAGACAGTGACGGTCGTAAGTACATTGGAGGTGGTAAAATTTCAGTGACTTTGTTCATCAAAACCACACAAGTTAACACTATTGTAACCGTTTTACCTAAACAATAAAAATGCTTAAAACTCTCCAATTTTTTAAAAAAAATTAAAAAAACACTAACCAAAAGAGAATGTTCTAGAAATTTGGAGAGCAGCAGTCAGCACACCAAAATAAGAAAGGACATTGAAGTGAGCTTTGAGGTCTAATGAGATTTTGACTAGGAGCAGTAGCCTTATAAGACTTCTCTGTCTTGCTTTTCAATTTTTATTGAGGCATTAACATTATTGCAATATTGCTAATGTGCTTGGTTCTTATACCATACCAGGTTGTATGGTTCTTACACCATACCCACCACCAAAGTGTCAACTTTTCTATACCAATGATTCATGTACTCCTCCTCTCCATACCCACCTTCCTCGGTAAACTCAGTTCTATGGGCCAGTTCTCAGGTTCTGTTCCCTTTGGCTATTTGGTATTGCCTTATAAGTTTCTTTATATCCACCTGTGAGTGAGATCATCCTGTACTTGTTCCTCTTCTTTTGACCGAATTCACCTAGCATAATATCCTCTAGTTCCATCCATATAGTGGCATATTGCATGATTTCATCTTTTCTTATAGCTGAGTAGTACTCCATCCTGAATTTATAGCAGGGTTTCTTTATCTGTTCATCTGTTCATAGATAATTGGGTTGTTTCCAGAATTTGGCCATTGTGAATAGAGCTGCAGTGAGCATAGGTACATATACTTCTATAAAATAAGTGTGTGAAGAAAGGGACAATTAGGGAGTGTACAAAATAATTCAGGACATAGGAGAACTGGAGGAAATAGATGAAAAGACTACTGAGGAAAAGACTCAATTCTAGATGAAATTATTTTTACTTTATTCAATATAGAATAAAATGGCAAAACAGGTAGCAACCAGTATTATCTATGCTTATGAAAGATGATTTGGAATGTCGTATTTTTGGAGAAGAAAAGTGGGAATTGGCAGAATCTGCAACAAGGAAGCAGGAATTGAAACCCTCCTCTGAGTATCTCAAAGAGATTTTGAGAAAGTTACTTTGGCTACTCTGGAGATAGAAGGGTGGAGCATTAGAAAAGGGGGATGAAATATAGCATGAAATATCTATTTAACTTTATTGATTTATTAGTGTCTAATAGTAAAATAATGAATTCAGGAGCATGACTTTATATTCCTTTTAATGTGTAATACTCACTGTATCCACCACCAAATTTAGACACCATCATGCTTTCAAAATCATCTATCCACCCATTCCTTCCAATGTCCTTCTTTTTTCTTTCCTCCAATTGCCTGTCTTTCACAAAGCCTGAGAGTTATTTTTGTTGTATTTTCTCAGGTTTTTTTGGCGTTGGTTATTTATAGTTCAGTTTGAATAAAATGATTCAATTAGTTGTTTTTTACTTCCTGGCATTTTGTTTAACATAATCTCCTTAAATTCCATCCTCTGGAAAGGCATGACTCATATTTCTTTGAGTATATCTGCCATGCTTTCTTTTTTGTTGTCGTTATTTTTGGACTATACTTGGCAGTACTTAGGGATTATTCCTGACTCTGTGCTCAAGGTCAATCCTGATGGTACTCAGGGGACCACATGTAGCACCAGTGATGAAATCCAGGTAGGCTGTGTGCAAGGCAAATGTCCTACTGGCGGCATGATCATTCCAGCCTTTCCACCAACTTTTTTTTATCTAGTATAGTAATTGTTGCCTTTTTCTCTATGTTGTTGGCTGTAAATACCTTATCAAAATCTTCTATTATAAATATAGAATTGTATTAATATTGGACATTAGTTTCTTTATGCATAATATGGATAAAATCTACATTTTTATCTATTTTTCTAATCAGAGACAATTCATGTTTGAGGTCAATTACTGCCATTTTATCTTTTGCTTTCCAGGTGTTTTATATTTATGATACTTTTCGTAATGAGTTTCTTCCTTTTACTTCAGATGTTTTTTCCCTGGTGATTCAATATCTTCAGCTTTTTTCTAAGTGTCTTTGTGGAAACTGATATTTTTAAAGGTTTGATTTAGCTTTCTATCTGGAAGGATAATTAGAATTTGAAAGATTTTCATGAATTGAGAATAGGGCATAAACTAAGAATTCTATGAATTCTATGATGAGGGAGGGAGCAAAAGAATAAGAGGGATAAAAGTGGTGAAAAAGATATGATTTGGCGACTTACAGGATGTGGCGACCCACTTTTAGGAAGAAGTGGAGGCAAAGAGGTCATAAGGCTTGAGCCTAAGTGTCTGGATGAAACAGACAAGAGGAGAGGAGAAAAGAGAAAGAAGAAGAAGGGGCTCGAGCGATAGCACAGTGGGTAGGGCATTTGCCTTGCATGCGACTGACCCAAGTTCGATTCCCAGCATCCCATATGGTCCCCTGAGCACCGCCAGGAGTAATTCCTGAGTGCATGAGCCAGGAGTAACCCCTGTACATTGCCGGGTATGACCCCCCCCCAAAAAAAAAAAGAAAGGAGAAGAAAAGGCAAGAGAATTACTATGGAAGGTCTTAGCTATTTCTACTTTTTTTTTTTTTTAAATCAACTCCTGTATCAGATTGTCAGCAGATAGCATATTCTAAGTGAAGGGACTGATTATAACGGTTGGGGCAAGGGCTAATACAGCAATAGTAGCACTAAAAATGGTTATTTTATTTTTATATGAAAATTGATAGTCATAAATTATTTTATATTTGAAAGTGATTTAAAAAGATTGTAACCCATTCAGTAGCATTTTATTGTAATGGAAGAAAAGTGTCTTACTTAAGACCTATGAGGTATAGTTTGGATTATACTTTGAATGCACTTCAGAATACCAATCCAACAGAAAAATACCCTGGATATTCAGATGAAATGGGAAAGTATTTATTGAGTGTTGAAGAGAGCCTGGACATTCAGGAAGTGTTACTTTACCATTGGTTTATTTTCTTCAAAAATGCTCCAATCATTTTTTTAATTACAACTTCTTTGCTTGTTATCATCTCACCCCTTATTTACACACAAACATTTTTCTATCTCAAAAGAACTGATTTATTTCCTCTCTGCATATTAATTGCCACTTGAAAATATTTGCCTTCTACCCAAACATGAAGGGAAAGGGCAACCATTTTCATGTCATTGCCTACAAACATTTTTGAATTGGTGGCTCTTAAATATGATCTATCCTTTCTTCGTTATCACTGGAACTGGAACCCTTCCAGAGTAGGACCATGTATCTACCACCCAGATCTAACATACGATCTGGGTATTCAGTTGTCCTTTTAGTTTATCTCAAATAAACTCCCCATTCTGGATCTCATTGCTGTCATTCCAATATCACCCTATTTTGATGCTGAGGAAAATTTGGGGTGTTAGGATGGAATAAGAGGTACTAGTGAATGTGATATTGAACTAATAGAATGTGTGTGTGTTTATTCAATTAACATTTATTTATCTGAAATTACTGTTCTGATATTTGTTACCTAACTGAAATAACTCATAAAGTTGGTGATTATGGTTGCAGTATTTGAATGAATAGTGCAGATTCTTCCTTCTTCCATGTGTGTGTAAGGCTGCTTTCATGTTTCTCCATTTTTTAATGCAGTATAACTTAGGTCTTTATGTTGTATTTTTAATGTGTTAGGATAACAATTTCTGACAACTACCTTCCTAATATTTATCTTGTGACAGATGATTCAAGAGAGCCGGTATCTCATAGAAATGGCAGACTCAGTCCAGGAAAAGATTGTTCAATGTCAGAAAGCAGGTAACCTTTTCCCCACTTTTTGTTTAGAAAATTTAATAATGATTACTGGAATATTAACATAAACATTTTGTGTACTTTTAAATTTAAAATGTTTTGTGCCTTTGTTTAAATAGTTTGACGTACACTAAAAATTTTGGTAAAGAAGAAATCTCGATGATGGTAAGTGGGTTTTATGTATATAGAATGGGAAATGTAGATCTCTAGAAGGGTGAGTGTTTCTGGTTTTATTTTTTCCAGCTTGGCAACCTATGAAAACATTTTATTACGGATGTTGAAGCTATGGTCTCAAATTTCCCACTTCATCTTTATAAGTTGAACCACAATCCTATTACTTTTATAGTCTTTTACCTCATTTAGTAGTCCTCATTTTAATTTAATTTTGTTTATTACTTTTTTGTTGAGATACTGTGGTTTACAACAGTGAAATGAAAGTTTCATACATACATTGTCAAAACACCAACCACACCTACCACCAGGTACCTGCTTCCCTCTATAAAAGTTTCTTCCCATTCACCACCCCACCTACAAACTCCTCTCCCATAAAGTCAGTTCTCTAGATAAACCCTCCAGTTCTGTTACCTCTGACCTCTATCTTTTATATATCATGTATAAGAGAGATTATTTTTTATCTAGACCTATATTTCTAAGGAATTTTCACCAGCATGATACTCTAGTTCCATCTATGTCATGGTTTATTACATGATTTTATTCTAACAACTGCATATTATTCCACCATGTATCGATACCACAACTTCATATCCATTCATTTGTTGTTGTATATTTGAGTTATTTCCGTATCTTGGCTATTGTACTAAGTGCTGCAATATAGTTGTCTATATTAATGGTTCTGTGTTTGGAGGTAAATGATAAGAAGTGGTGTTTTGATGTATCTTATAGGAGTTTTATTCCTACATATTTTGGTTATTTTGGGAAAGGGATAGACTCAGCTGTGTTCAGGGCTTACTCCTGGCTCTGTGCTGAGAGATCACTCTGTTCTTACTGTCATATGAAACACTGAGGATTGAATCTGGGGCAGCTACATACAGTACAAGTGCCTTACAAGTGTACTTAGCCCTCCAGCCCCACAACATTTCTTTTGTTTTGGGACCACATCTAACAGTGGGCTTACTCCTTACTCCTTAGGGCTTACCCCTAGCTCTGTGTTCAGGGTTTACCTCTGGCAGTGATTGAGTACCATGGATCAAACCTGGGTCTTTTACATAAGCGAACACCCTTCTCATTATACTATCTTTCTGGATGTCATTCTTAATGAAGAAACAATAGAAACCCAGTACAATATTCAGAAGAGAATAATCTATGTACTGTATTAAATATCTTTATTTAAAAACTTAAAGTATTGTCCTGTGGAGAATAGACCTTATTGCCTTGGATCTAGATAATACTAAGGGTAGAAGTTCCAGGAAGAGACATTTTTGTCTCAGTATCAGGCATAGCATTTCAAAGATGGAAATTGTTGCTCAGAAAGTGTGATTCCTATCCCTGAAGTGCTAAGACAAAGGCTGAAGAAGCATATGATGGATACTTTTTAAAATAGTACTTAAATTGAGAAAATGGTTTAGTTAAAAAATAACTTTAAGGCCATTTCCAAATCTGAAACATTTCAGTGTATCCAGGAATGCTATTTTTACAATATATTTAAATTTTACTCAACATTAGCTAATTACTGTTACCTATCTCCAGGGAATATTTTCAAGATCTATGTATATTTTATAAGTAAAAAAGAAATGTGCACACATCACATATGGTTAGACTTCACACGTTATATCATTTTATTTAAAAACTGGGCAGAGGTTAAACATGATGTATTTCAACTATTGGAAGAGTTTTTTTCTTAAGTCCTCATGTGTTTATGACTTCTCACTTTTTAAAATAAAATTTAGCCTAATTCATTGATGATTATTATACTAGTTTCCACTGGGAACAGTCCTTTGATGCAAAGAAAAGAGTAGGAAAGAGAATTTAAGCAGCATTTTTAAAGTTATGAGAGAAATGATGAGTAATTAGAAATAACTTTTATAATAAAATGCCCATTTAAAAAATTCTACTGACATCTTGCATGTTCTCTTTTAAAAGGGATGGAGTTCCATGAGGAACTTCATAATCTGGGGGCAAAAGAAGGCCTGAAAGGAAGAAAACTCAACAAGGCAACAGAGAGCTTTGCATGGAACATAACCGTATTAAAGGTATATTAAATACCCACGCGTGCTTTGCTTCCTTTCCCCTCTTATCTTCAATGAATAGAGAAGTGCTAGTTGTTGAAAACAGATATTTGAATGTTTAACTGTGTTGCCTCTTAACCAGGTTCATGCTTTTAGTAATAGGAGTATGCAGCCTGGAACTGAGCAGGGTTATGAGTCCGAGAGTGAAAGCAGTGGACAGCATGATCCAATTTTAGTGCCTGATGGATGCGTTGTTGAGTTTTGTTTGTTTTTTGTTTTTTTACCCACAAGAACACTGCTCCTCAAGTTAAGATGGCTCTTTTTGCTTGTGGAAGGATAATGCCAAATGTTGGAAAAGTATCCAGTATGAGTTATTTGGTACCCAGAGAAAACAGAAACAAAGACCATGAGAACTGGTCTTCAGTTGGGAAGTATGTGACTTGTATTAGGGGGAGTGGATAGAGAAGGGACCATTATAACAATGGAGATGGGAAGTGTTCAGTTGGAAAGACTAGAGTGGATTAAAAGGTAGTAAAGTGTTGGGGCTGGAGTGATAGCACAGTGGGTAGGGCATTTGCCTTGCACAGGGCCGACCCGGGTTCAATTCCCATCATCCCATATGGTCCCCTGAGCACCGCCAGGGGTAATTCCTGAACACAGAGGTAGGAGTAATCCCTGTGCATCACTGGGTGTGACCCAAAAAGAAAAGAAAAGGTAGTAAAGTGTTATGCATGAGACCCTATTGGCAACTGTACTATAAACCACAGTGTCAAAGTTTATAAAAGCAAAAAAGTCCCTCTCATAGAGGGAGGTAGGTGGGTGGCTGGCAAAAGGCAGGTTTAAGGAGGGGAGAGGGGCGGTGTTAGTGGAGGGAAGCAGACTCTGGTGAAAGGATTGGTATTGAAACATATTTCTGAAACCCAATCATGAATAATTTTATAATTTACAGTGATTTAATATAGATGTTCTAAATTAAGTGATTTTGAAGCATCTTGTATACAGAATATCTGATCCATTTAGCATTTTTTCTTTTTTTTTCATTTAGCATTATTTTAAGAACAATTTCAATTCATAAATTCTATGCTTTTTTTGCAAATAACTTGCAGCCAGTTTCTGGAGATTATGGCTTACAAATTTTAGAATTTTCAAATAAGTATGGCACTTTTTATATTCTGTTTATGCTTGTTTTTTCTTGATATTTGGGCCACTGAGCTGTGCTCAGTATTTACTCCTGCCTCTCTGCTTAGGGATCACTCCTGATGGTGCTGGGGGACTATAGACTGGTGCTCAGGATTGAACTGGGTTTGTTACAAGCATGACAAGTCCATTAACCCTGTAGTATTTATCTGGCTCTCTTTTCATATTTTCTTTCATGAAAACAATAACTTATTTAGAAAGTTAGAATAATTTATTCTTGATAATATGGTGGAAGACTAGTGGCCACAGACAAAATTAATTGGTGACACTCATAGAATACTATGAACCAAGTATTGCAAATTTTCTAAAAATTAGCATTTTTGTACAATTCAAATCTTATTATTCTCATTTTACAGGTAAGTAAATGAAGGCATTGAAAACTTCTGTGTAATAAATACCTGAAGTCTCTCAGCTAGTGAATAGTGGAGCTGATGTTTGAGCTGGGGAGAGACTGACAACAGAGTAACCCTTCAATTTGCTCTCACATGTTTATGTGGAAACACTAGATGAACTGTGAACTACACTAGTGTTTATATACTTCAGGCCTCAGATATTTGTTAAGTTTCTGCTGTATCTTGGGCTCTGTGACAGGCAGTGGGAATTCATGGAGAATAAGAGGAATACTGACTTTGACGTCAAGAAATTCACTGGAGTGGGAGAGGGGCAAAGACATCATTTGTTTAATGGTCTGGGAAGATCTGTCATGTAAATACAAAGGGGATCTTTTATAAACTAGAGCATGATGTGACAGTTGTGTGAACCCTGAAACAAATGCTACTCACTGAGCAGTTATTTATGTAGACTTGTTAATGCATCAATACTGGAGAAAGATGCTATGGATACAAATACGTAGCATAATACTTTGGACTCAGTATTAGACTGCAGTGGGAGACATATATTACTTATAGTGACCCAATTATTTAGCAAATTGACACGACATGTACTCATGGCTAAATAGTTTAAATGTTTCCCCTTCTTTGCAGCTATTATGTTACCCTGCCACAACATATGTTGACCCTGCTATGACTCTTGCTTTTTCAGAGAAGTTGAGGATTGGGAGGTTTAAGTCTACTGACTTCAGTTTACAAGTGTACAGCAGGGATTTTAACTCACATGGTAGTTCTAGCCATGTCTATTCTTCTGACTCCCATAAAAAAAGCATCCAATCAAATCCAGGCAGCTTGTGCAGGGGGAAAGAACACAGATTCTTTGTGCAGATTGCCTAATAAAAGGTAAAGGTAAAGGCCCTCCCGTTGATCGTCGATTTGCTCGAGCGGGCCCAGTACTGTCTCCATTGGAGACTTTGTTGTTAATGTGTCTGGCATATCAAATACTCTCGGTAGCTTGCCGGGCTCTCCGAGAGGGGCGGAGGAATTGAACTCCGGTCGGCCATGTTGGCCGCTTGTAAGGCGAACGCCCTACCCGCTGTGCTATCGCTCCAGATTGCCTAATATTGTTTATAAATCTGTCTAAGAGTGTCTACCAGTTGTTTTTGAGAATTAAATAACAATAAAAAAGTGAATCAAAGCATTCAAAATAGACTATGTATATTTATTATACATACATATATACACTACGGGAGCGATAGCACAGTGGGTAGGGCATTCGCCTTACAAGCGGCCAACATGGCCGACCCGAGTTCGATTCCTCCGCCCCTCTCGGAGAGCCCGGCAAGCTACTGAGAGTATTCGATATGCCAGACACAGTAACAACAAAGTCTCCAATGGAGACGTTACTGGGCCCGCTCGAGCAAATCGACGATCAACGGGAGGGCCTTTACCTTTTTTACCTTACATATATACACACAGTCACTGTCACTGTCACTGTCCTCCCATGGTTCATTGATTTGCTCTAGCGGGCCAGTAACGTCTCCATCATGAGACTTATTGTTACTGTGTTTGGCATATTGAATACATCATGGGTAGCTTGCCAGCCTTTGCCGCGTGGGCGAGATACTCTTGGTAGCTTGCCGGGTTCTCCAAGAGGGGTGGAGGAATCGAACCCGACTTGGTCGGGCTGGCTGTGTGTAAGGCAAACACCCTACCACTGTGAAATATACACACAGTAACACATATAATGTATACATATCTATCTATGTACCCATATATATATATATATATGTATGCTATCAGATTTTGTCCATTTCTTTGCCAGGTAACGATAACTATTAAAGAAACTAAGTGTTTCTATTTGATAACTCTAGCTTAAGCCCATTTGTTATATTCTGAGGTTGCTTTGTGTAAAATTTGTTTTAGTAGTAGAAGCTGTTTACTAGAAGAGACCTAGAAAATTCTGTATGAATCAATAAATCACTTAAACAATCATTTAAACACAGACTTGGGGGTGGGATTTGCGGTCACAACCCGTGGTACTTAGGGCTTATTATTAGCTCTTTGCTCAAGAGTGACTCCTGGTGGTACTTGGGGATCACGTGTGAGGGATTGAACTGGTTGGTGCCTTACCTCTTGTAGCGCTTCTCCAGCTCCAGTGCAGATATTTTGAAACACAATTGATTTATGGTTAAGGCACACGTTGCTTGAGACCTTGGAATTTAAACAAAAATAGTAAACTTTTCCAAGCTCCTAATATTTTCTTTCTCTTATTCTTCTGTTTGGTAGAATCTTTCCCCACATGTACATTTTTCAAGTGCTTTTCCAAGTGCTGAAAAATGATCTCCTAGAATTTTGAAGTTTTAGCTAAAAGACAAAGAGACTACTACCTTTATTAGAGGTTGTATATTCCTGTGGTATCTCTGGGTAGATCCTTTTTTTCCTAAGTCTCTTCATTTGTTCTTGTGACTTGGATCTGGAGCATGTAGTTCCTGATCAGTTTATTCTCCAATCTTCCTGAAGCTTCCTAGAACTTCTTAAATTCTTCCAGTAAATTACTTTCTCTAGGTTTTCTGAAATTAATGCCCATTGACTTATAACTGATTAAATTAGTAATAATTACCATGATAAGGCATAATCACTGAATTAGTGGGTTATAGATAGTTTATACTTATAAAACACTTCATTGACTACTACATTTCCTTACACATATGCTTTCCACAATCTAAAATGTAGGGAGTGTGGATTGACTAAATGATTAAATGTGTAGTTTCATGTAGCTAAAAATAGTTAACTGCAATATGATTTCCAACAAGTAAGGAAGAACTGAAAAAATGAAAAATTTATTCTTAAGGACTTGGTGGATTATGGCATGGAATATTGGGACATTATCTTTAAAAATCAATTTAAGAATTTAAGATACTTTTAATTATATTTTTTGAAGCTCAATATTGCTTTATTTGGGGGCTGGAGATATAGTACTGTAGATAGAGTGCTTGCCTTGCACATGACTGGACTCCGTCCCTGGAACCATATATGGTCTCACAAGCCCTGCCAAGAGTGATCCCTGAGCACAGAGCCAGAACACTGTCAGGTGTGGCCCCTAAACAGACAGCAAGAAGAATCTACCAATGGCAATTTCCCCAACTCCTTAGGTTAGAGTGAGAGTTAATACATAAGGTGATGCCTAAGAAATAAAATTGCTTTGTTATTGGTTATCTTATTTTTTATACTGAACATTCAGTGAGTACACTAATAAGTTATGATTTTCACACAACACATAAGTAATCTTTAGGTAACTATGTAGAGTTACCTTTATGGGAGAACTGAGGCTAAAGAGGATAAGTAACCTTCCCATTGGCATTGAGGTAATGAATTATGATGATTTAAGCCCATCGTGATCCATCATTACAAGAACATTTATGGTATCATAATAACTATAGCTTGTGGGAACAGCTAATTTTCTATGTATCATCATTGTATTGAGTGCTTTGTTTT